GGTGCTCAGTACAAAGGGCCTCCGCCAACTTGACATACACAGTCTCATCACACTTGGATGCAAGCACACAAAGATGGGCTTCGCACTTGTCTAAGGCTTTGGCAGCTTCGCGAATTCCATGTGCTAGGCCATTGTGGATGAGGCTGTCTTTAGCACCTTTTGTAAAGCAGTATTAATGTCCATTACACCTCCAGCAGCAATGCCTTCCTCGGCCATGGCAGCGGGTTACGGGTGAAGCAGAATCGTGAATGCACCTGAGCCTGAGCCTCCGTCTCTGCACAACTTGGTGGCAGGAGGGAAAGAGCCACCAGGCTTTTAATTATCTTATCTTACAGACAGGATAGCTGTCCTGCTCCCAGCACATGGAGGACAGAATGTAAAGAGGAGGGGCAGGGAGACCAGCTGGGGAAAAACATAGAGAATGCAGTCCAAGGGAGCAGATTTCCCAAAAAGCTAATCTGAGGGAAGGCGGGCCTCGACCACAGGAGTCTCACGTTGTGTTGTTCCTCTTCCCCCTGATCCCCAGGGAGGGCCACATCATAGGCCCCCTGAGTCCTGTGCCAGCCTGAGCACCCATGGGGGTGGAGTGAGAGGCAACAGGCTCTAAGAAGATAAAGGAAGAAGTGATTGATGACATGACCCAAGTCTAGCCTTTTCTCCAGGCCTTGTGCCACCCTCTGTCTCTTGCCTAGAGGATGAACATGCTGGTATATCCAGATGTGCCCCAAAAGTTGTGCAAGTTTACAGCTTTCCTGGGTTGGCAAATAGGTATTTCAACACCAGCTGGATGTGGGTTGTGCAGAAGGCAGAGCAGAACCAGTGAGGGGCAGGTAGGGAGAGGCATGGTCCAGCCCCATGCAGAAGAGGTTCTTCAGGCAAAGGAGGACTTTGAAAAGGCTGAATCAGGAGCACTTAATAACTGGGCTATAATTAAGCAGGACCCCTGATAATGACCTCCAATCCCGTCCCTGGGGGCCTTGCTTTGTCTTTTCTACCAGGGCAGGCGCTAAGCCCGACAGGCTTGGCACCTAGCAGAGGGACTGCATACCACCAGTGTGCACCAAAATGGATGCAAATAACCTCACCAAGCAAGGCTGGCAGGGGATTTCTAGCACAACAGAGCAGAAGCTACCTTTTTACCATGGACGCAGCACGTGCCAGGCACCACGCCAAACACTTTACATACATTATTTCATGTAATCCTCTCAGAACACTGTGAAGATGGCCATTATTCCTATCTTGCTAATGTGAAAATGGGCCTGGAGAAGGCTGGGAGCGTGCCCCAGGTTGTGCAGTTAGTAAGGGTGGCAAGCTACTTTATAAAGCCAGGCTCTGAGCATCCACAGTTAGAGCGCCTTCCACTTGCCTCTGCAGAACCAGAGAGATGCCGGCCCATAGGACAGAGCTGGAGACAAAGGTTCATGTCCAGTTGAGACCATGTCAAGGAGGGAAGCCAGTAACCGGGGTGAGGGCTCAACAAGCGACCAGCATCAAGGCTTCCCAGGGCAGCCTTGACCCTGGCTGCCTCCTCCAGGGCCAGAGGGCAAGCAGCTGATTTGTGCCAAATGCCCCATTCTCTCTGCTCAATGGGGTTTTGTTGACGGCAGTTTGCAGGCCTACAGATTTCTGTCCAATCTGCTTCAGAAATACTGCATCCAAAGCTTTCCCGCCTGGCACTTCTGGGGCAGGAGGGAATTAATAACTCCCTTTAAGGCTGGGCATGGTGGTTCATGCCTGTAATCCCAGCACTTTGGGAGGCCAAGATGGGCGGATCACCTAAGGTCAGGAGTTCGAGACCAGCCTGGCAACATGGTGAAATTCCATATCTATAAAAATACAAAAATTAGCTAGGCATGGTGGCAGGCACCTGTAGTCTCAGCTGCTCGAGAGGCTGAAGCAGGAGAATCACTTGAACCTTGGAGGTAGAGGCTGCAGTGAGCCGAGATGGCGCCACTACACTCCAGCCTGGGAGACAGGGTGAAACTCTATCTCAAAATAGTAATAATAATAATTCCCTTTAAGTGTCCAAATAAGGTGGCCCAATAAGACTTTGGAGGACCATGGGAGCGGGTGTGTTTTGTTTCTCCCCACATGGCCAGGCTGGGAGGCACTGGGTGCCATTGCTTCTACTCAGCACCACTCCTGCTCCTGACCGAGGCTTTGGTCATGGAGCTCTACATGATAGTTCCAACACAAGAGAACCCAAATTCCACACGCTTCTTTGAAACATTCCTTTCAGAGACTTCCAGCTGACTGTGGAGCCCGTAGTGGCTGTCTCCCCATCCTCCTCCCACTACTGGCCACTGGGCAAGGCCACAAATTGGCCCCCTGCATCTTAAGCACCCCAGGAATGTGCTGTTCATCAACAATAATTAGGGTTCCCTATGAAAGACCCCAGACGCAGGGGAAGCTGGACGCTCCACTTCAAGGGATTTTGTTTTAAACCACAGACATAGCCCCACTGTCCCTAGGCATCTGGGTCCTTATGGGGTGTGGCTGGGAATTCAGTAGAGGAGTGAGTAGCAGGAGGAAAGGGAGGTGTGTAATCTCCAGTTCCATGACCCTTTTTCCTAAGATGCATGTGAGGGAGGGCACTAGGGCCCTGGACCCAGCATCCAATGGTCACCACGAGCCTGCCCAGGATGGGCACACTGCCAGGAACATCTAATGAGACCCCTGGGATGAGGCAGGAAACCGCCTTAGGCCACACTCAAGGGTGAGCCTGTTCAGTTACCAGGGCATTCCCCTCCCGGACCCCCAGCCAGTCCTGGGACCTGCACGTAGGTAAGAGTGGGAGGTGGGTATGAGGGCCAGGAGGAAGCCCAGAGAGGGGGCACTCCAGGGTATAGTGGCAACTCAGTCGAGTCTAGATACATGCTCACAAGTTCAGGTAGCTGGGTGCCCCTACACTATTCCAGGGCTTTGGTGGGACTGGAAAAATGGGCCACTCTGGGCAGACCTAGCCCCAAGAACATAGCAGAAGGGGTCTTTTGCTCCAGGATTCCCAGGTTGGAGAGCTGAGTGTGGACTGCATTTCAGGTCCTCTCAGCCCTCAGGGGGGCACCTTGGTACAATGCACAAAATGCAAGCCCGCCTACAGCAGCCCTGACAGGTGAATTCTGGCGTGTGACAGAAGTCTGAGAACAGTCACAGGCTTGTAGAAGTGGGCCAGGTCCTGCAGCTGCATGGGTAATAATAACCAAGTATTCTAGCTGCTCCTCGGGAAGCAGGTCCCCTCGATTCCCCTACTGCTCTCCAGTTTTGCCTTCTAGCTACCCTGTCATTGTACCATCCAGTTCCAGAGTTGGAGATGAAACCTACTTTTGACACGGTCCCATGAGCTAGCCCAGCTTTCCCAAGGACATAAGTGGAGTCCATTGGAGCATCTGCCCCCATCTCACCTTGCCTTCTCCCAAAAATGAGAGGGTCTGAGGGCAAAGGGAGTTGTGGCCACAACAGAAGTAGCAACGCAGCAGGCCTGGGGCTGGTTACACCTGTTTATCCTGACTTCACAAGCTGAAGCACCCAAGGGGCTACAGTCAAACTAACACCCCAACCCTGTCCTAACCCCAGGCAGAATCACCCCAGATCTGGGCAGGACGTACAGGAATAAACTCTGAGCTGAATAACACTCATTCAGCGGTTCCTGTACCAGGCCCTGTCCCAACGACTTTTCAAACACGAGCTGATTTAATCCTCACTACCTTGAGGTAGGTTCTATTATTATACCTGTTTTACAGATGAAGAAATCAAGACCCAGAAACTTTAAGTAGCCTGCTCAAGGTCACACGGTTACTAAGTGGCTGAGGTAGCATTTGAACGCAGGTCATCTGCAATATTTCAGACAGGGGTTCAGATAAGGTTACTTGAAGCCACTAGGGCCCTGCCTTAATTTAAGTGCTGATTCTACTATTTCCTTTTGTAAATAGGATGCTTTCAGGGGTGGGGATGCTGTGAGGAGATGGAAGTCTGGGACAGTTTCAGACTGTAACCTCTAATTTATACATGCTTTATTCCAATTCAGACAATATGACAACCAACAAGTTAAAGGGCTTGCGGATACAACATCTGTTGGGAACTTATAAACTTCATATCCGAGTAACACACCTTGCAAGGCACCTATGACTCTGCCTATTTTGCAGATGAGGAAAGTGGGGTACTGGGAGCAGAAGGCACTTACTTGCCCAGTGGAAGAAATGGGCTTGGGATCCAGGACCCTCTGAATCCAAAGCCCAAATGCCCCAAGAAGAGCTGGAGAAGCAACCGGATGGAAGGGAAAAGGAGAGGGAAGGGCACAGGGCTGAAACAGGAGGTGGCCACAGAAGCAGATGTGAGCACCAGGAAAGGAACCCAGACAACCAGGATGCTACTCGCAGGTCACTCTGAGGAGGGGTCGCGCCCAGGACTTGGGAATGTCAGCGCCCAGAGCTGCCCCTATCCGCAGTCTGGTCGCTCCCAGGGCCTGGAGGTCTCTCCATGCTGGGGCTTGGGGCTGCACTGGCAAGCCAGGGATGGAGGGGCGGAGAGGGAGGATCGGGCGCCCGCCCGCCCGCCCGCCCCACCACAGCTCCCGGCCCTGCTGCGACTTGCTGGGAATACCAGAACCCCAGTGTTTATAGGACTGCAAGCATTGGCCTCCCTCTACCCCGAGCCGCCATCGGGGGCGGCACCGCGGTCGGCTCTGGTCAGCATCAAAGACAAGTAGATGGGCAGGCGGACCCCGCCGAAAGTGCATCCTCCTAAGGGAACTAGCCGGGACGACAGAGCGGGCTAGACCCCACCCCTGCCCAGAAAGAAAACTGAAGAAAGGGGCCCGCAGCCCCACAGCTTCCCTCTCCTCTCCCTCCCTGAGCGCAGCGCTTTGAAAAAAGGTGTCCTAATGGACTCCGTGCCTCCGACAGGTCCCCTCCTTGGTCTTTTGTCACAGTCACCTCCGCACGAGGCACGTCCCCGGCAGCCCTCCTTCCCCCGGCCCGCGCCCCCAGGTCCCCGGCACTCACCCAGCGGCAGGCTGACCCGGGGGCTGAGCGCCCAGGTCGGAGGTGGAGGCTGCAGCAGAAGCAGCAGCAGCAGGAGCAGCAGCGGTGGCCGAGGCGGCAGCGCGCCCCATGGGGCGGCGAGCCAGCTCCTCGGGCCCATCGCGGCGCGCAGCACTCGGAGAGCAGGAGCGACGGTGTCCCGCGGCTCGGGTTCAGGTGGCTCGGCCGGACTCCCGGGCGACAGCTCCGCCCCGCGGTCCGCCCCCGAGTCGCCCCGGGGGCTCCCGCCTTCAGACCTGGGGGGCGGGAGGTGAGAAACAGTGTCACGTGGGCCCTGGCGAACGCAGTCCCTCCGCAGGGCACCGCAGTACTCCCGCTAGCGCCGGCCAGGCAGCCTCGGCTTGGGCAGAGCTCGCCCGCAAGCGGCGGAGGGCGGGGCCGAAGGAGGAAGTCGGCGGTGAGCCCGGCCGGCCCGCCCCTTCCCCCTTCCCCTTTCCACCTTCACCGGCGCTGGCAGCGCGAGGGGACGCAGCAGCTCGGGGCGCGGCCGCAGGGGGTCAAGCCAGTGATCAGTAGCCCCGGCGGCCGCCCGAGTGCTGAGACGCTGACAAAAGCCGACCCCCAGCTCCCCGCCCCCACTGCTCAGACCCTCCCACCGCCGCCCAGGCCCCGGCCCCTTCCGGCTCCTCTGGGACCCTCTGCTAGTGGCGTTGGTTTGGGGACACGCTGCGTCCCCACTATGCGCCTAGGGAGTTGGGGGGCGGCTGGTGATTAGACCTTGGTCTCCCCGCTTTAGGCGACCCCTCCCCTCTTGCTCCTGGCCCCCTTGTTCCTGCGACCAAATGAACTCGGCCGAGCTCGTGCTGACACCAGGGCTAGCAGCTTGAGAGTCCAATTTTTGCACAGGTCAGTCCACTGCAAGTCATGGCTGGGCATTCACTACAAGCTCAGCACTTGGTCAGGCACCCTGCGGGCTTGTACGCTTACTATTCTGTCCACGCGAAGCCCTCGGGTGGAGGAAGGGCAAGATTAGCTTAAGTGGGATAATAGGATTTAATGTACTGCTAAGGAGGTAAGACCTTCACAACCTGCACGTGGCCCGGCATGGGAAGGGAACCCCTAAGACTGGAGTGGAAGCCCAGAGGCACCCACCCCTAATTCTCCTGGCTTCTAACATCAGGGGTGGAGCTCAGCTCTGCTGAGACCAGGGGTTTCCAACTGCAGCCTGAACCATTCGCAGATTCTGAAATCAATTTAGTGGATCCCAACAGCATTAAGAAACAAACAAAACATAGAAACTATCTAAGCAATAATTTCAAAGGATAAGTAATTTTGGGAAAGCTACTTCAACTTTTCCTAAGTGTGCACAGGATTACAGAAAAATGTAGTAGTTCCTCCTGTAGTTAGAGTCCAAAAGAGTGAAAGCCTCTGCTAGTTACTTCCATGGCAGTAGAGACCATCTCTCTATAAATCTCCATAAATTTCCTGCAATTGCAGGAAAGCTCCTCTTCACCCCCAGCCAAAATCAGCCTCCTCAGAGCACCTCTTTTCCTCTCCTCCCCACTTCCAGGGTCTGCCACATCTGCTCCCACAACAGGAATGCTGTCAAGAGGGTGGGCACAGCACCCACATGGTCCCAGGTCTCCTTTCTTATAGCTAAGCTTCCTCATGCTCCATGATTTCTGTACCTCCATCACCCTTCTGTGGACATGGTGCAGGCTAGCAGCATCCCTTTTAAAGGGGCTCCCAGCACTGGACACATAATTCCACATGGGATGTGGACAGCAGCAAGCACCCACAGTGCTACTATTTGCCCAGGTTTGGATGCTTTACTCTAAATGGGGTCAATCCACCTACAAACAGTGATACCCAAACTCCTATCTGCAGCCTAGTCCAGCCCTGCTCAGCCAAATGGCCTCAGCTTTTTTTTTTTTTTTTTTTTTTTTTTTTTTTTGAGACAGAGTCTTGCTCTGTCGCCCAGGCTGGAGTGCAATGGTGCAGTCTCCACTCACTGCAACCTCTGCCTCCTGGGTACAAGCGATTCTCCTGTCTCAGCCTCCTGAGTAGCTGCGATTACCGGTTTATGCCACCACGCCCAGCTAATTTTTTGTATTTTTAGTAGAGACAGGGTTTCACGATGTTGGCCAGGCTGGTCTTGAACTCCTGACCTCGGGATCCGCCTGCCTTGGCCTCCCAAAATGCTGGGATTTCAGGTGTGAGCCACCACACCTGACCCGGCCTCAAGATTTCTACTTGGCTGTCTAAAAAGCATCTCACCCCAACATGTCCCAAACTAAGCTCCTGATCTCTCCCTCTTCTCATGTGCTCCACCTACAGCCTTCCCCATCTCATTTAATGGCAATTCCACCTTTAAGTTGCTCAGGCCAAAACCCTCAGCTCCTCTCATTCTCTCACTCCTCACATCCAATCCATTAACAAATCTATAATCTGACCACTTCCCCGCTCCTTAGGGCCCAGGCACCACCCTCTTTCTCGGGGTTACTGGAAGGGCCTCCTAACTGTTCTCCCCGTTTCCTCCTTGGTTCCCCTACAATCTATTCTTAACACAGCAGCTGGAGTGAGTCTTTAAAACACAAGCCAGGCCAGGCATGGTGGCTCATGCCTGTAATCCCAGCACTTTGGCAGGCCGAGGCGGGCAGATCACTTGAGGTCAGGAGTTCAAGACCATCCTGGCCAACATGGTGAAACCCCATCTCTACTAAGAACACAAAAATTAGCTGGGCATGGTGGTGTGTGCCTGTAATCCCAGCTACTCAGGAGGCTGAGGCAGGAGAATTGCTTGAACTGGGACCTGGGAGGTGGAGGTTGCAGTGAGCCGAGATTGTGCCACTGCACTCCAGCCTGGGCTACAGAGCGAGACTCCATCTCAAATAAAACAAAACAAGCCAGGTCAGGGCTTTCCTCTGCTCAAAACCCTCCAAGAGTTTCCCCATCTCATTCAGAATGACTTTACTTGCAATGGTCTGCAAAGCCCTCCATGTCATCCTCACCACCAGTACCACTGCATCCTCTACTACTTTTCCCCTCATTCATCCACACCAGGTACATGTATAGTAGCCTGAACACAGCAGGGCCTTTGATCTGGCTGCTCCCTCACCTGGCACACTCTCCCCCTAGATAACCACAGGACTGAGTCCCTTGCTTCCTTTTGCTCATTTATCACCTTGAAGAATCTGAACTTCCTCCTAATATGCCCCTTATCTCCTTAAAAATACCTTGAGATATTTTTTCAGCACACTCATCACTGAATAACATACAATATATTATGGTTTTTCTTTATTGTCTGACATCCCATCTCCCCCAGAATGCTGACTGGGAGGGCAGAGATTTTTGCTTATTTGGTTTGTTAAGTAATGTTATCTGAAGCCTCTAGAATAGTGCTTGGCACATGGTAAGTAGGACTTCAGTAAGTATCGGCTAAATGAATGAATGAATGCAACTAGTGTCACAAAATACTGCTGACTCATGGCAGCTGACAACCAGAACTATTTTTTTATATCAACTTTGGTCCAATAAAGAGTTTTACCAGCTGGGCGCGGTGGCTCACGTCTGTAATCCCAGCACTCTGGGAGCCAAGGCGGGTGGATCACTAGGTCAGGAGATCGAGACCATGGTGAAACCCCGTCTCTACAAAAAATACAAAAAAAAAATTAGCCGGGCGCGGTGGCGGGTGCCTATAGTCCCAGCTACTCAGGAGGCTGAGGCAGGAGAATGGCATGAACCCGGGAGGCGGAGCTTGCAGTGAGCCAAGATCGCACCACTGCACTCCAGCCTGGGCAACAGAGCAAGACTCTGTCTCAAAAAATAAATAAATAATAGATTCTGGCTCAGATGTCATCCCACTGAAGTCATGTTGAAAACTGATTCTATTATCATACATTGGCTTCCCCTCCCAGTTTGGAGTAATCTGTAAACATGATAACCATTCCTTATGCCTTTATTCAAGCTATTGATAAAAATATTGGGTGAGCAGGGCTGGGAGTGGTGGCTAACACCTGTAATCCCAGCACTTTGGGAGGCCGAGGCGGGCAGATCACGAGGTCAGGAGATCGAGACCATTCTGGCTAACACGGTGAAACCCCGTCTCTACTAAAAATACAACAAAATTAGCCAGGCATGATGGTGGGCACCTGTAGTCCCAGCTACTCAAGAGGCTGAGGCAGGAGAATCTCTTGAACTCGAGAGGCAGAGGTTGCAGTGAGCCGAGATCATGCCACTGCACTTCAGCCTGACTGACAGCGAGACTGTCTCAAAAAATTTTTTTTTAAATGTAGAAGAAATGGTGATGGAATTAGAAAATCTAGATTCAAGTAAGAATCATCAGTGGATGGGAAATCATTGGGTGGAAGATTGTTAGGAAACTATATGTTAACAAAGTGTCCCACAGATGACTTACTAATTACCAAAGGGAACATTTATCTCTAAGGGAGAGATCTCGTGGCCACAATCTTAACCAAGCAGACAAAAGTAGCAGCACAGTAATGGGACTGTTTGACGTAATTTACCTTCTGATATGATGCAATAAGAAGTACAAGACAGGCTGGGCCCAGCAGCTCACGCCTGGAATCCTAGCACTTTGGGATGCCGAGGCGGGCAGATTGCCTGAGCTCAGGGGTTCGGGACCAACCTGGGCAATACAGCAAAACTCTGTCTCTACAAAAATTAGCCAGGTATGGTGGCGCATGCCTGTAGTCCCAGCTACTTCAGAGGGTGAGGCAGGAGGACTGCTTGAACCTGGGAGGTCAAGGCTGCCGTGAGCTGAGATCACGCCACTGCTCTCCAGCCTGGGTGACAAAGTGAGACCCTATCTCAAAAAAAGAAAAAAAAAAAAAACAAGTACAAAACATCATCAATTTTTGCAGCATTCTTGTCAAAGGTGTGTTATAACCCAGATCTAATAATGAAGACACAATCAGACACATCCAGCATGAGTAGTATTCTACGAGACAACTAGCCTGGACTCTTCAGAAAGGGCAATCTAGTGAGAGACAAAACAGACAGGGGTGGGGCTGTTTTAGGTTAAGGGACTAAAAAGACATAATAATCAAATGCAGCGAGGCGAGGTGGCTGACACCTGTAATCCCAGCACTTCGGGAGACCAAGGCAGGTGGATCGCTTGAGCCCAGAAGTTCAAGACCATCCTGGGCAACATGGTGAAACTGGTCTCTACAAAAAATACAAAATTACTCAGGCATGGTGGTGTGTACCTGTTGTCCCAGCTACTCGAAAGGTTGAGGTGGGAGAACACCTAAGCCCAGAAGGTCAAAGCTGCAGG